CAGCACCTGTGACCGGCATCTTCAGAGTGCAGGAGCACAGACAGGAGCAGTTCTCTCTGTGCACGTTAGGAAACAAAACTTCAAGAACACGGCCACACAGCCCGGAAGACCCACACCAGCCATCGTATGCCGGCCGTGAAAGCCTTATAGCTACTCTTAGTGTCCATCTGTACATTTCCTCCCCCTCATATTTTTCATCTCTGGTCACTGGACACATTCACATACAATTCTCTCCCCTGACCATACCCTACAAAAATAAAGTTTACAACAAAATTGATGTTTTTCCCTCACTGACTAATTCCACATTAATTATTTGACAAGTATGTCTCAAAACAAAATGAAAAAGTGCCACTTTCATGCTATGTGATAATTGTATAATTATCATTGCATAATTGCCATGAAGTGCCTTGAGGATCTTTTAGAAACATTATTTAGAAAAAATGAGTTCTAAATAATTGCCAAACATTAGCTTTTCAATTTGTGTTTGATATTGAAATGTATTGGTTTGGTTTGTGTATTTCCTAACCTACCCAGCAGTTTTAGTAACATAGCAACTACTAACATCTTTCTAGAAGGCTTCCTCAAAATCTCTCTGTAAGAACTCTGTCACTTCAGTGGATAATCTTCCATTTCCATGTCTTCTGCTCTGTAAACTCCAACCAGCCATCTACTTTCTTCCCAGTCTTTACCATTTTCCTTCCATTTCCTTCCATTTGATATTACAAAAATGTCAATTCAACACATCATTTGCCAACTACAGCTCTTCTTCTTTGTAAAGTCATGTGGTGATGTCACTGATGAACCAGTCTTCATAAGTACAGCTAATTTTTCTGTACCAGCAAGAACCTTTGTGGTACTGATGAAGATTTCTGGGTGATCCTGAACTCCGCAGTTTCAGGGCTCTAGTTCAGAAGAAGCCTTCACACATTCATCTCTACACACAAAGCCTACACGTGAAACAGAATCAATATCACAACACAAAATGACAAATCAAGAAAAAGCATGTTAATTTCAGCCATTGCTACTCTTGTTCCTAGTGCAAATGTAGTTAAGCATTCTAAATATTGTATTCTATGTTGGCTTCACTCCCATGGCAGGTAGGCAGTGGTTAAATCTCACAAATAAGCAACTAACATTTCCCCCCAAAAGGGCTTTAAAGTATGGTTGATGTTTTACCACATCATTCACCACTTCTAAACTTATAGCTGCTAAAATCACTGCTTTCTGAATCATGGCTACTTGATATTTGTGTTCTTCCTGCAGGAGCTGGTAACTCAGGTAGAAGGCATCTGTCTTTATTCCAACTGCTAAAGCACACACTGAAAGGCAACAAATGTGTGAAGAGGCTCAATTACCCAGCTCTCATTTTCTTGTAAGACTATGGAACTCTCCTGAGCAATTGCAAAGCCTGCTTAGAGAGGGTGGTTTACCTTGGTGTAATCATGATAAAAAGTTATCTACAATGGTCCATTTGGATATCCCTTACTATAGGTAAAGATAACTAAGTGCTTAGTGACCAAATCGTTCCCCTATTAGAGATGCACTATACAGAGCTCCTGTCCTCCTAATCTGCAGGAGAAAGGTAGCATGTCATACTTGCTATCTCCCTTGGAATGGTAAGAGACATATGTGCTTCTTCTCTGGAAAAAAGCCATTTTTATTTCAGAGAGTTGCCTCAGAGTAATGAATATTCAAGGTGACCATTTGGCAATTGTAGTTTTACCATGATTGTCTAGAGCAGTGGAGGGGGGAGCAAATCACAAAATGCGTCAAAATGCCAACCCTGTGATTTACACACTTCCATCCAGCATTCATTCGGATAAATTGAAAAAGGTGGGGATTGCATTGTGAGATCATCATGCAGGTCACCACTTTTTTGTCATTGCAGCTAGCAATGTACAGCAATCTGTGCTATAATATAAGGCTGTGCGGATCACGTGTTATCAAACTCAGTATCATCATGTGCAAAAATAAGCCGCTCTGGAACAAGATACATCACATTCAAACACTATAATTAAAACATACTTGGGCAGAAGCCAGTGCCGAGCTATTAGCTACCACATTAGAATGGACAGCCAGTATCAGGTGTGATAATCTTTGCAGCACAGACTGATTGATTTTTTTCTAACAACTCTTATTCAGTTTGATGAAAAAATATGAAAGCAAATTCTGTCTCAATGGAAGAAAGAATTCTTCAGAAATTCTCATGGCTGGAATGGGGTTTTAAAAAGGGATGGAATAAAGTTTTTAAAAAATCCCCCAAACCTCTTTCGCTGGAAAAGAAAACCTCCGAGGTTCAGCGTGAATTTCCATCTACTTTAATCCATCATTTAGCCTAAAAGCAAATAGTCCCATTTGTCCTGACTTCCTTTTAATATTTTAATGCGGCTGCAAAAGGCAATCAGCTACTATAAAATCTAGGTCTGGATCTAGGCTCGAGTTAACATGAGAATCGGCCGAGGCAGCCGCTTTCCGAGTGACCCCCTTCAACCCCCGTCAGAGCGATGCCACGTCTGAGGGAAGCGGACCCACACCGGGATCTGAGAGGGAAGCAGCAGCAACCGCCCGGCCTCTGCGTAACCCTCCCATCGGCGTTGCACCAGCGCCGCTTTGCACGGGGCTCTATTGCACCGCCCTTCCTATTTCTCAGCAGCAGCCCAGCATCTCCTCCTCGCCGGAAACAGGGAGGGAGACCCCCAGCAGAACGAACTGGGCTAGCGGCGTCTTCCCGGGGAGGACTACAAGTCCCAGAACCCTTAGCGGCAGCCTTCGTTCTTCCGGTCGCGAAGCCGATGAAAGTGAAAGTGCCGCGGCCGCCCCGCTGCCGCCGTCCCTCCTCCTCCTCGACTTTGGCTTGGCTGGTTCACCTTCAAGCGCGCGCGCGCCAGAAGGCCTGGCGGAGCGAGAGGGCGCAGAGCAGAGACCTGCGTGAGAGCGCAGCATGAACGGAGGGGCGGACTATCTGCTGTCGGAGGAAGTGATCCATCTCACCCGAGGA